CAAGAAAGTAATCACGCTTTTTTTTTAGATGAAAAAACCCGAACAACTTACATATCAAGACCAAACATTTATTAAATGAAATAGTCTCCATTCTTATCGATGATGCTTTTCCATCTTATAATCAGGTTGTTAATGTCCTGATTAAAGAAATCATTTGGCTTTGAAGCAAAAAATGTGTCGATGTCCTCTTTAACACATTCCACATTTACATACATTTTCCCATTAAGATGGTGTTGCAGCGAACGTAAAAGTTGGTAATCTGATGGTGCCATATTTGGAGAATATGGTGGGTGGGGGAGAACTTCCCAACCCAACTTCATAATCTTGTGTTGCATCAAACCTTCCATATGTGGATATGCATTATTGTGGATAAGAAGAATACCTTTCTGATTGATGAGTGAAAGGCATTTCTGATGAAAGACTCGATTTAAATGTTCCAGTTGCTGACTATAGATCTCTGCATTGACAGTTTGCTGTGGATTGAGGAGTTCAAAATGAATGACTCCCTTGGTGTCCCACCAAATGCAAAGAATCACTTTTTGGGGATGAAATCCAGGTTTTGGGGTCGGAAGTGGTTTTTTTGTCTAGGACTGAGCCATTGTTTTTGGTATTTAATATTCACATAGAGAATCCATTTTTCATCACTGGTGACAATTCTGTACAAAAATGGTTCACATGCATTATGCGCCAGAAGAGATGAAGCAACATTCACATGTTAGAAACGATGATCATTGGAGAGTTCACGAGGCACCCAAACACCTTCTTTATGGAGTTTTCCCATATTCCTTAGATGTTTACGTATTGTTTCATGAGAGACATGCAATTTCAAGGCTATTTCACGAGTGTGTTACCTTGGGTTAGACTTAACAAGTGTCATCAGATCATCAATATCAATTCCAACATGTCGGCCATCACAGTTTTTAAGGCTAAAGTCACCTGAACGAAATTTGCTGAACCAATGTTGACACTTGCAAACATTCAAAACATTTCCATAAACTTCTTTGATATTCTTTGTGGCTACAGAGGTGTTGTTTCCCTTCTTGTATTCAAACAGCGTTACATGCCAAATGTGTGTCTCGTCATGTGCCATCACTATGAGGGATTAGAGTATACTAAACTTTACACATTATATAGGCTACACTAACATGATGTTTAGATGGTTCGTTTAACTATTATACGTAATGTACGTTTTTTGGGGGTGGTTAATGAAAGTGTTCCAAAATGCGAGATTAATTTCTTGACGACCTAATGCTAACATTAATATTATGCAACACAATCTTCTTGACAATGAGGATAACATTCAAGTCCTCATGAGTTATGAAACTAGCAAGTGTACAAGACATTATGGACATATTCACGTCTCCTTGTAACCAGCAGAAATCATTTAAATTTACAAATAAATTCATTCTTTTATTTGACATTTCATAACATTGTGTCAATCAGAGTTTTTATTATCTTAAGACCATTAATAAAACAAACTACATCATAATACTTTCAATGTTTTAAAGTCCTAAACTATAATAAACACATTTAACACCTTAAAATCGCAGTTGTGAAGGAACTCATCAATGAGTGGTATTGTCTTCACCTCCATTTCTTCTTCAGACATGTCTTTACCCTTAAGTGTCATCTTCACGTCTTCTGTGAATTAATAAAATTCAAGACGAAAATATACTAAAAATGCAGTTTTTATTGAAATGATTTTTTATTTTTTTTTATTTGAATAGAGCTCTAACGAGGAAAGTAAAAAAATTATACATAAAATATATTTGCACTTAATACTAATGACATAAATGGTATATTTGATCCAACGTTGTACAAAATGTTGCATTACTTAACTATATTAGTCACTTTACAAGGGATAGATAAAATGGCTTTTAACATTATAATAAAAAAAAATTATTATTCTAATAGCTACCTAGACTTTTCAAAGCTTATAGTTAATTTTAGTTATTTGGGAATCTATGATTTGGAAAAAACAAACTATTATGTTAGAAATGTTTCTGTGAAGTTCATTTTCACTAGAGTATAATCAATGCTAATTTTACTGTAGACATATTTAAATGCAAGAGTAAATCTGTATAATTAAATCACTCTATGATATGGTTTATTAAGGTGTCTTATTGGGGCACACATAATTTCTATTAATATAGGAATTGTTATAATCTAAACAAGCAATACACTGAATGAAGCAAAATTTATTTTAAGATGAAGGGAGGAAATAAATTCAGTAAGTCTACTTTAAATAAACTATGATGAAGAGAAATATAATTAGTTTTTTTGAAGTAGACTTGCATTTGGATAGAGCTATTAGTATTACCATATTTTTTTATTCTGCCTTGAGGTACAGGTTTTGATTCAACATCAAGCAAGACTGACTTCACAGAAGCTTTTACATTTTCAAGGTCTTTCTGTTGAGTCTGAGATGATGTCTTCCTTATGGCAGCATTTCCACGGTTCTGACTGGACTCCCAGCTAGAGGCAGCAGACCTAAAGAAACAAACATCACTTAACCAAACTGTATGGTCAAACACACAAGTTTCAAAAGACACATACATTAAACATAACTTTCAAATAATTAACAAAAAACTGAACTTATAATGCTAGTATTTAAACTTTCAGCACTTCATAAAACATTATAGATAACAAATTCACCTGTGTTTGCTAGATATTTAAAAAAACTTTCACATATTATCTTCATACTTCGAATACTGGTTTCAAGAGGGTATTTCTCCATTCTCAGAATCTTTGAAACTTCATTTAAAACAAGTACTACATTTTGTAAAAAAGAAAAAAGTGTCTTGTAAATAAATTAGCCAATCATAAGAATTAAACTGTGAAACTTATCTGACTAAATTCTCACAGCTGAGTTTAGATGCTTAAAATAAAAAATAAGAACAATTAAGTCAAAAAAATAACTTGTATTATGTAATAAACATTGATCTAGACCACGAGTTAATGCAAAATTTTAAGTTTATGTTTCTATGGATTCTTAATAATTATTTAGAGGTTTTATTTTCTGTTCTCAAGCAGTTGCTTATAGTTTTTTGTTTTTTTTGTATATTATCACACTTCATTAGTACTTAAGACTAGATGTTCCAAGAGCTTACATTAAGGAAGGAAAAAAAAAGATGCATCTTGACTTTTCTGACAGACTGAAACCGTTTAATGTGTGTGTGACAAAAATATTAAGTATAAATATTAAAATTTTAGTATACAGATTTTACACGTGTTTAAAAATAATTTCCACTACTGAAAATGTAATAAAATTCAAAGAAAATAAATTTTTCCCACAATCAGTTTTCGTGAAAACTATGGGAATTCATAACTACAAATGCAGAAGAATAAACTCAAAGACACTTCCATATCGAGAATCATGTAGTGGTAAAGGGTTTTATCTTCCATTTCCTCACCTTTGTGAAGCTGGTCTAGAATTGAAACTTTGTTCTGTTGCTGATAATGCTGAGAACCTACATGTACAAAAAACAACTGTCACACTTCACATCACATCATCTTTTCTGTTTAATTAATAATGCTGAGAACCTACATGTACAAAAAAAAATGTCGGACTTCATAACTCATCACCTTTTCTGTTTAATTAATAATAGTGAGAACATACATGTACAAAAAAAAAGTTGGATTTCATAACTCATCACCTTTTCTGTTTAATTAATAATACTGAGAATATACATGTACAAAAAAAAGTTGGACTTCATAACTCATCACCTTTTCTGTTTAATTAATAATACTGAGAACATACATGTACAAAAAAAAGTTGGACTTCATAACTCATCACCTTTTCTGTTTAATTAATAATAGTGAGAACATACATGTACAAAAAAAAAGTTGGACTTCATAACTCATCACCTTTTCTGTTTAATTAATAATACTGAGAATATACATGTACAAAAAAAATGTCACACTTCACATCTCATCATGTTTTCTGTTTAATTAATAATAGTGAGAACATACATGTACAAAAAAAATGTCACATTTCACATCTCATCATCTTTTCTGTTTAATTAATAATAGTGAGAATATACATGTACAAAAAAAATGTCACATTTCACATCTCATCATCTTTTCTGTTTAATTAATAATAGTGAGAATATACATGTAC